GTATGTCACCCACTTAAGGACCCAGTCGCTTGGTTCTCTGATCTCAGTCTCAGGTTCCAAATTCGGTCTTCCTGTAGTACTGTCAAAGATCACACTACCTCCCAACTCGGGACTTGCCAAATGGGTTTTTGGATCTTACAGTATCTCGGATTTATTATGCCAAAGCTCTCATTCTAGATGGTGTGACCGAGATTACAGATTTCTAGATCCTACCGATCATCGAATAGCTATTATATAATCATATCACAGGGCTATTTTTCGAAAATGTCGTCCGTGGGATTTGAACTCTAGACCTGCCATCTAGAGTGCGACAACTCCACCACTTCACTAAGTTGCCACACTCTGCTATTTTAAAAAATATAATATATATATAGTATAATTATGATAAGTTAGTTTGTATTAGAATTAATATAATTTTTATTATAATTACTAAAAAAAAATTTATTATAAAAACTTATTATTTTAATAATTACAATATATAATTAAGATAAGTTAGTTTATATTAAAATTATTATAATCTTTTTAATATAAGTATTGTTATAAAATTTTGTTAAAACCTGCAAATCAATAGCAAAGTAGTTAGTGTTTCTAAATTTTAAACACAAGATCACGAATTTAAAACCCATAGGAGGAATTATTTTTGCTAGAACTACATTTGGTAATAAGTTGCAAAATATAGTTACAGAGTTATACAATATTCAGAAAAAGAAAAGAAATCTGACAAAAGAAAGTTGTTAATATGAGGAATATCTAAATTAGAACCTTAGTGTTCTTGTATTAAAAAGGAGCTTCAAATAAAGACAAAAGGCTTGTATTATAAATCTAATAGAAAAAAAAGGTCTGGGTTCTTTTTAGAAGTATTTGCTTTTTGAGCAGATCTTTAGTAAACTCAAGTAGAATGTCTGTATAAGGAAGTACTAGTAAATACAAAAGGTATACAGAAATAAAGTTTAGAAGGACCAAAACTGGAAACACAGAGCCTAATAGATATGTTGGTAGGCAAATAATGAATGAAGAGTATACAAAATCTGAGTACAGAATTGGAAAAAAGAAATACAATGCCAAATATAGAGAAATATAGGAAATTAAGACTGTAGTAATAAGAAACTATGAACTGCTACAAAGCAGAGTCCTATACTACAAGATTAAGAACTCAAAATATTACAAAGTAGTAAACTTATCAATATGTGGTATAGAAGAGCTAGAGAATATCTAATAAGATAGCCTTATAGATAATATATGTAGCAACTTAAATATATAACTAATGATTTTCTATAATAAATATATAAGATATTAAAATAATAAAGTACACTACCTGCATTCCAAAAATGGATCACATATTATAGAAAATTTAAAAAAAAAAATTTTGTTAAAAGCTTATTCACTATTTTAATTATTAATACTATAAAATTTTATTGCAAAATTTATATTTTTTTAATATACAATATACAATTTATTAATATATACTAGAAATATTCAACTCTTTCTACTAATCACCATAACCAAAACTGAAGCAAAAGAAAATTTGCAAATAGACTCTAACTCTACTAAGACAACATTAGAAACAGTCTTAAAAGAAAAAATAAAGCAAGAAAAAAGAACAATAGTTTGTTAAAACAAAAAATTTCGTCTTGGACTTCATCTTGTACTAAAAGAGGAAAACAAACTTTTTAACAAAAATTTCTTTAAAAAAAATTTTTTTTTAAAAAAAATCAAGCGATTGGCTTACACTCTGTAGTGCAGATTTCTTTTTTTTTTTTTTTTTTTTTTTAAGGGTAGAGTATATGTAGATCATTTTTATAATACTAATTATGACTCTATTATATTAATTAGATTACAGAATATAATCACGTTCTACAAAAATAAATTAAAATTATAAAATATCACTAAACCTGTTTTTTAGATACTTGTTTTATCAAAACATTCAAAAAAACCTATATTAACAAAGTTGGTACGTTAAAAATTTACTTACAAGGTTAATGAATTTTGCGGGTGATAAGTAAATTTTGCGAGTAATAAAATTTATTCTATTAGTATTCTAGAATACTGATTTTGTGTAAATCAGTATTCTCGAATATTAAATATTGATACACATAAATTTGAATACATATAATAACACATATTCGAAAAGGATAAAAAATAGTTTATACGTGCATTATTAGAAATTAGAATTGTAGATATGAATATTTTCTTATATATTTTAATCGTATTTTATGTATTTTACAGTTGGTATAATATAAAATATAAAGCATTATTCTAAAATCTGTAAACTTAAGGTATAATTGTTAATTTTTTAGAAAATAAATAAAATAAATAAATGGTATCAGAAACTTGTTTTAGAAGAATTTGAAACATATATCTAACGAACGATAATTCAAAGAGATAATAAAAGTATAGTCGTTCGTAAAATTTCACATGAATTAGAAGTTTTAAACCTTCATAAAATTCTTATACCAATTATAACATGAGTCAATAAAAACAATTCTAATGCGAATGAACTTGCGGGATATTATGTATATCAACCTTTAAAAAAAAATTCAATAACGTGGGTCCCTTTATTACCCAGATATACCATATATACAAAAATTAATAATAGTTTTTTTCAAGCTTTCCATTATGAAAGATACAAATAATCGTCTAATTTACTAATGGTATTTTTATGCAAAAGACAAAACTTTTAAAATATTCAAAGATAGTAGACAAGATAATATTTGCTTTAAAACATGCTTTAACAAATATAATTGGTCAGACAATCGTTCACTATTATGGTATTTAGGGCTTTCAGATAAAGATAATATTCAATTTCTACAAGAAACAATAATGCAAACATATCCAAATATTTTTGATCATTATTCGCAAACCATAAAAGCATTTAATACTGAGAAAACTTTAAAAAATTCTCTTACCTATACAAAATACCAATTACAAACAGCTATGGAAATAGAAAAAACTTCTATAAGAAAAGGAATAGCTCTTAATAAATTTGAAAAATACTTATCACCTCATGAAACACAAGCTCTAATGGTTGAACATAATACACTTAAAAACAAATTAAAAAATACCAAGAAAACTATTACATAGTTAAAAGAAAAAATTACCAAGTTAATATATTTACCTGATAAAGATATAGATCTATTGTATGACGAAATATTATGTACAACTATCGATAATTTAATTGAAAAATAGCAACTTGGTTCAATATTACTTGTAGACACAAAAACATACTTATCTTTAGTTTTTAAAAACCTATGCAACAATTGTGGAAATTATCTAATTTCAACACAGAACTGCCCAATTAATGGTTATAGAATTTAAAACCAAGTGTCTTATTTGATATAAAGAATGCAAAACTATTATAGAAATTTCTAATGAAAAAAAGGATATTTGTTTTTTGAAAGCAGTAGCTGTAGGCAGATTAGAGGCTAGAATTTCTCGACACACGGCACAAAGTTTTTTAGCAACCATAGGTGTTACATCACAATGTACTAAAGCAATTTATCATTATCATCAGCATTATTTATTTTCAAAAATTATCAAATCAGCAAAATTATCAGCAAGTAATACAATTATAAAATGCATAAATAATACTGAAAAAACACTTACTGAACAATTTAACTCAACTAAATTGGAGTTAAATAAATATAAAAAAATTCTTCTACTTAGTTTTAATGTATCATAGTCACACAAAAGAAATGCCAAGCAGCCAAGTGGTGAATTTATATACCATCTAGAATTTGAAGGTAAGATTAATAAATAATATCGTTATTAGATTATAAAAACCTGCTTATAAATCACTATTAATAAGAAAATGATAAATTCTATTTGGGATAAAATTTAAACTATTATTTTGGAATTTGAGTGCCGCTAAGGGAGAACTTTAATT